AGTAGGCAAGACCTCCTGCACAGACGCTGGCGGAAGAGTGTGCTTAAACAACAGCCATGCAGTGACTCATCTGTGTTTTCACAACGTGTTTCTACCCAGCACCCGTGTCTATTTGTGCTTGACAATAAAGGCCCTATGTGAACCATCTCTGAGCTGTCTGCCTTTAAAAGCAAGGGCACTGCTTTCAGTTGACTCATTTCAGCTGATTGTACAGTTGAGAATAACCCACTGCCACATTTATAATATAAAGACATGCGATATAATTGAAGATTATTTCAGGCTGCGCCAATGCTTTGCTGCTTCGTGTTGACTTACTGTTTAGAGGGTCAAATAGAGCCAGAGGACCTCCCCCGCCTAAATGAGCCCTCTACACACCACTATGGTTATCTCCCCGGGGGCAGAGAAACAGATAGCTCTATCAACACCTAGACTGTAAATGCTGTCAGAAGAGGAGTCTTATCTATTTTGGTCACTTATCTATTGCCCCAGCACTTAAAATAGTGTTTGGCATAAAGTAGACATTAAGTAAATATTTTCAAAGGAACGAATCAACCTCTGCCATAGACTTGTGAAATGACCTGGGCCTTAGCACCAAATCCACAGAACACTTTGTTGTCCTGATGCCAAGTCAAGAAGACTTCCACTGCCGGAGCATCAGCTCTTCTGCAGGTTAAAGCTCATACCCTCTCAGTGCCGAGTACCTCAGCATCTCAGGCCACCTCACTCCTTGGTTCTTAACAGAGATCAAATCAACATATGTGTGTGTGCATGCACATATGTATACACACGTATATATGTATATACATACATCTATATGTATATATCAATAATCACTGGTATACATATATCTTTTGATATTATATGTGTATATACATATACATACACACATATATACATATATATATATACACACACACCAGTACATACATATATATAATCCTCTACCATTATAAGAAAACCTAATATGATTATTATAGGTAAAGTTTTTCATATTAAAATATTAGGCTATGTAAAATCACTATATAACCACTGAGTTGGGTATATGTGTGCATGTACTACCTACTTAATTTCTATTTAGACAGATGTTTTAGATTTATAAACCCAGTGCTTAGATCTGTGTATTCACTTACTAATAGCAATAGTCCACCCAAAAGAAATTAATATCAGATTTTTCAGTTCAACAAACATATATTAACAATCATTATTTTCTAGCCCACTTTTTCAGTGTTTCTGCCACCCACTGTGACTTCCAGAAGTGTCAAAGTGTAGTTCTTTTGTTTAATTAGATACTTTGAATGAAGTCAATTTCTAGGAATAACACCCAGTCAATGGTCATTTTTAACATCCTGACCATAGAAAGTATTTATGTTTCTCCTAAAGTCTTCAGAACCTAGAAAACAGCTTACTCCACCAGCAAGGCCTTTTCTGTGTAATTTATCACAGAGGAAAAGAATACACATTTCACATTTCATATTTCATCTTACACAATAGTCTTTTATTTTCCCAAGAACTCACTTATATAGAAATGAACTCACCTAGGAGGGATGGACAATAGACTAACAAATGTCACATCTCAGATATAGTGTTTTAAAGCTAAGGAGTTCAATTCAGTTGATTTTTTTTTTTAAAGCAATAAGCATAGGGAATGAAGTCAATAATCTTATCTAATAAAAGAGTAATATGCAAATTCACCATACCTCTGCTACACCCACAAGCCATGCCCATAAGCCAATCAGAGAAAATATGCAAATTAGCTCCAACCAAGATAGCTGCAGCCACAGAGAGCAGGAGGGAGGCTTGGGTTTCCCAGGCAATGGAAAAAGCCAAGCTTTCTGCCTGCCCTAGATGGCATAGGCCTCCACTCAAGGCTACAAAATTTCAATTATAGAGGGTAAACAAATCCAAACAGAATGGCGGCTGCCAAGGAGCAAGCAGAGGCTTGGCTCTGCTTCAGGCTACAAAGTTTCAATTGTAGAAGGTAAATAAATTCCAGATACCAGGGCCTCCCCTTGGGTTGCCAGGGGGCATAACCAGCCTGCAAACCACCACAGGCCCCTCGCCCAGACTGCCCCACGGCCCAAGGGAACCCCCACCCTGATCCGGGACACCCTTCAGGTCAAACCAGCTGGCCCCCACCCATGCACCAGGCCTCTATCCTATCTAATAAAAGAGTAATATGCAGATTGACCATCACTCCAACACACAATATGGCTACCTCCATGTGGTCAAAGATCCTGCTCCCATGTGGACATATTGGAGAGGGTGAAGGCTGGGTTGAGGGACACCACCACCCCTTCCTCCTCCCACCGGGTCTCCAATATTCTGATAACTATGTATGGTGTTATGTGGGTACAAAATTTATCAGGATGATAACTTAGTAAGTTATGCAATGTCTAATCATTGGGGTGTACACTGGAAACTAATGTAATTACATAGTTTAAACTGTAATTTAATTTTTTAAATTATTTTAAAATTTAAGGCAATAAACCACACAAAGGTAGTATCATACTGTCTCTCTGTCAATAAGAAGAACATTCATGAAAATAAAAGTGTTGAAAACGATATCTGCACAAAAAATAAACAAGAAAATAGAAACAGAGATCAGACTGATGGCTGCCAGAGGGGAGCATGGCTGGGGGACTGGACTGGGTGAAAAAGGTGAAGGGATTAAAAAGTACTGATTGGTAATTTTAAAATAGTCCCAGATATAGTATAGCATGAGGGAATATGGTCAATAATCTTATAATAACTATGTACAGTGTCAGGTGGGTACTTGAAATATTGGGGAACCACTTTTTATTATATAATTATCTAACTACTATGCTGTATACCTGAAACTAATACAAAATAACACCAAAAAATATTTTTTAAGACTGCACAAAAAAATCTCTATATTCTGAAAGACAAGATGGTTTTGTTCTTGCTACTCTGAAAATCACATCTCCTTTTTTTTCTATTTCCTTGAAGTTTATGCTTTAGTTATCTCAATTCTCTCATTTGCATGAAGAATACCTATCCCATTCGAATAGTCAAATTTTAAAGAAAGTCTCCTGCTGACATCACTGCTCTAACTTCAATTTTTCATTTTACCTTATGAAAGGAAAAAAGAGCACATTTTCTTCATATACTTCCTCTGCTTCTGCCACACTGTCTACTCCTCATGCAGCAGGCCTAGCATTGGGTACACACAGACAAGTGCTCTCTGGCCAGCACATTGTTATTTTTAAAATGTCAACCAGGCCCGGCTGGCATGGCTCAGTGGTTCAGCATCAAACTATTAACATGAACCAGGAGGTTGTGGTTCAGTTCAGGTCAGGGCACACACTGGGGTTGCAGACTTGATCTCCAGCAGGAGGCAGCCAATCAATGATTCTCTCTCATCATCGATGATTCATTCTCATTCTCTCTCTCTCTCTCTCTCTCTCTCTCTCTCTCTCTCTCTCTCTCTCTCTCTCTCTCCCCCTTCATCTCTGAAATCAATAAAAATATATTTTAAAAATGTCAATTAGGTGCCAGTATTCAAAATCACCAGATTTCGCATAAGAACTTTAAATTTCAACCTCTCTTTGGAAATCAGAAAATGAAATTATACTGAGTATATTTTCATGTGGAAAGAAGCAGAGCTGAGTGGCAACTGCCCCTTTCCAACAGAACGTGGCATCTCAGGAGTCGTCACTGCCCCAGCTATGAGGAGTCCCATGCGAGCCATGTGGTCAAGTCATGTGAAGAGTCCTCAGTCCCAGCTCCTGCAGACATCCAGCCTGGGCACTGGCCTGTGAGTCAAGAAGCCTTCAGATGACGCCAACCTCAGCTGCCATCTTGAAAGTGTATGAGGACCAAAGAGAGAACCACCCAAGTCCATCCACCGCCCAAACTAAGAGAGAATAAATGGTTGTTTCAAGCCCCTAAGCTTTTGGATAATATACTATGCAGCAATAAATGAGCATTAAGAGATAAAATATACTCTCAAAAACTAAATACACTTGTTCAAAATAGATTCTCCTTTTATACTTGGAGCAATAAAGATAGTCTTCTTCTTATTTTTGTGTTTAGGCAGAAATCTAAAACATAAATGTGCCAAGGAAGAAAACAGAAGTGGAAGAAAAGCAATCTTTTGGAATCAGCTATCTTTTTTTAATAAGCTGGCTGGCAGCACTGAGGAATGTCACATAGGTTAAACAATAATAAGTTGTAAAAAGGAAGGAGAGAATTAGAAAAGGGCTTTAATCTGGTTCTTTACATAAGACTATCACCTTCACTCATTACACTGTCCAATGTCTCCCACAATGCCTACTTTTTTTCTTAATGTCTGGATCAAATAAAAGTAGTTTTGTGCATGTTTTTCTGATAAACTAAGAGAATCTGAAGTATTTTTCCTATCACTAAAACATTAAGTATTACTGATTCAAAAGGTAGGCAAATGCCACCTGCTAAGTCACCAAAGTATTGTGGTTCAGAAAAAATAAAATCAATTCAGAGTTTTTACAGCTTAAAGAATAGATTTAGGAAATAGGAGAAACAAATCTTATCCTATATTTCTTCACATTGAGTTCCTCTGACAGATAAGCAAATCTACCCTCCTTTGATGATTCTGTTGGCTCAGGTGTACAATGAAGGTGACCACGTATTTCTGGAAAGAGCGTGGTTATCAAGTTTAACAAAATGGTCTACACATTCAAGGTAGTAGAAGATCTAAACCTTGTGCCCTGAACCAAATTAAAGCAGCTGATATGCTTTTGCCCAAATAGATTTGTATATCCTCATTTCCTTCCCTTCTTTTCTCCATTTGTGACTCAAGCCAGATTTCATCGAGCTATTTTTATAATTACTAAAATGTTGGAAATACAGCAGCAGGCCAGAAGCAAAGTAAAACGCAGCATCCAGCAAAAAAAGGAAAATCACGCTGAGTAACTGAAAGGCCATCTGCTTCTCGCTGAGCTGCAGGGTGAGGAAGGCAATCTGGGCTGTACTATTTGTGTCTTCCCCCAAACCCAACCCACCTGCATGTTGTCAGTGGCATCCCCAAGTAGTCCTCCGAACGTGATTGCATTAGTTACAGTCGCCAGATAAATGAAGAGAGTTGCTGATAGAGCCTGAATATTTAAAGCATCATAAAAATCACTGGCAAAAAATGGTGCTTTCCTCTTTATGTCCTTAATTAGTCCGCCACAGAACCTGGGTAAGGAGAAAGCAAACATGCGACGATGTAACATAAATTACAATCAAATTAACCAAGAGATAACTTATTAAACCACAAAGAATGTGTACTTAACGTGCTTGAAGGAACAAGGTACTATTTAATCACTTAAGATAAAACCAGAAAACTGTGGAAAAATAAATTTTCTCCTATCTTTCCCTTTTTCAGTCACCAAATTACTGTGTCATATTCCCTAAATACCATACAGTTGGTCTTTAGAATGAGAGTGAATTGTTGAGATAAAATAAACTTGTCCCTGTCTGAAGAAAATCACTCAAACATGTGAGCAGTTCATACAAGGACCTTTATAATCTTGCCATGGCTTCCTTTGCAGCCTCATTCATTAATTCACTCACTCATTCATCATTCCATAAATGCTTATTAAGCATCTGTGAGGTGAGGAGAGGAGAGGAAGGGAGGGGAGGGGAGGGGAGGGGAAGGGAGGGGAGGGGAGGGGAGGGGAGGGGAGGGGAGGAAAAACCCATTCTCATGAAGTTTACTTTCTGTATGGAGGAGACAAAATGTGTAAAATGCATGATGCTAAAAATAAAGGAAAAAATTAAGTGGGGAATAGTATTATTAGATAAGAGAAGAGCATTGGTTGAAATATGATGGTGGCCAGAACAGGTCTCCGGATCAGATGACTTTGGGGTAAGAATCTGAAGACATTTCAGATCCAAGGATGCCATGCAGGTTTGTGGTAGAACAGCGTTTCCTGCTGACTCCCACTGCAAATGTTAGCAGGTCAGCTGACTTATGGATCAGTCAACTCACCCTCCCAGCCAAATCTCACATCTTGGTATGCATAGGGCTGGGCAAACTGCAGATACACAGTGCATTTAGCAAAGGCGAAATATGGAAGAATGACATCTCAGTCTGTAGTGTTTTAAAAAAGACATATTTTCATAAAATGAGTACCCAACTTAAAATTTTACTTAACCCAAAATGAAATGGAAAACCCAGCAGTGGAGAAGGGAGAATTGTCATAAAAAGAGATTTAGCCAAAGCAATCTAGAAATTCCCCAAATGCCCACTCTGGAAAACAAGACCTGTGAGTTTCTTGTGTATTTCTATAACATGTTACCTCCTTTTGAGTAAATGTACAGGGAAGAGATGGAATCATAAATGCCAAGTGTGCAAGACTGGCACATTGCACATTCTTCCTGCCACACACTCTACCCAGAACCTCTCCCTTTTGTCTCTCACACCCCCGCCCTCACTCTACTAGCCACACTGGCCACAGTGCCAGCCTAGCACACACTAGGTGTTATGCTGTCCCCTCTTTCTACCTCACGTCTACATGGTCTATCTTCCACCTCCCTCAGGACTTTCCTCAAACGCTGCAGTTCTCTTTAAGGCCACCCTATCTAAAACACCTTTCTCACATGCAAACTGCCTCCTTCTCCTTTGATTCCCCACATAAAACCATCACCACATTCCTTGATTTGCTCACTATCTATCTCCACCACTACAAAGTAAAACCCATAAGGATAAGGAGTTTCGTTCAGTTCACTGCTGCATCCCCAATGGCTATGACTATTAGATAACTATAAATATCTGTTAGCTGGATGAATGTGCAAATGGTAAATAAAATGCTGTTAGAAAGATGAAGGGAAATTTATATCTGAGGAGAAACTCATTGTGAATGACAAAAGAATCTATCAGTTACCGTCCAGTTTTCTTCAATTCTTCACTGTCCCCATGTCCTCCTCCTCCTCCTCCAAGGCCGCCATCATAGGGAGTGTCCCCATTCATCTGAACATTCTCTCCACCCGAGTACATGTTCTTTCTAAGACAACAGGGAATATTAGTTTATTGTACTTACCTGCACCAGCTAATGAAGAGATGAGCTGAAAACTCTTTGGGAGAAGGATCATTATTTCCTTCTGCCATCCTCACAGACAGTTCTGACAGTGTTATATTTAGAGCCAACCCAAATGACTGGAGAAATAGAAAAGTTGAACAAACTGTATATTGGATAAGAGACAAACCATTTTACCTGGAAAGTAACAGGTTTCCAGAAAATGGCTTCTCCTCAATCATCTCACCCAATTTCTTAAGCTCTTATATCTACAGGACATCATTTTGAGTAAACTAATCTTCCCACATGCACAAGGAGTCCCCAGAACATCATCAAATACGCTCTATGACATATCCCAATATGATATCTCTACTATGTAATCACCAAAGAACATCATAACATGAACATTCATTTTACAGTGTGAATGAAATGTCAAACCTAGGCACATATGGGATTCATCTGAGATGACATACTACATCAAGTTAAATGGGAACCTAAAAATATTAGGGCAGTAGTCTAACTCTATTTCCTTTGCCAAACAACATCTTTCTCGAGGTTTAACACCCCCAACTGCTTGATAATTTACCTTTTGTCAGACGATGGAAGACTCTTAGGAGGCTCTATCCTGATGTCTGGATCCCATTCCCCAGGGGGAAGGACAATGACTTCATCTAGGAACTCATCAATGCCAGCAATCAGGTCCTGCCTGTCTTTTGCTTTATAAGCAATGTCATGGAACACCTAAAGAAGAAGAAGAAGAGGTGTGCTGACCCAACAGGATAACTCTCCACATGCTCACATGCCCAGCCTAAAGGACATAACCCATAATCCACTTTAATATTACTATAACCACACTCTCACATTTTCTGTTATTCAGCTTGCCCCAAAACATTTCAATAATAAACCCAAGGAATACAGGGAGAGGCATGAGAAACAAATGGCTTTTCTTTTATATTTTTCTATAATACTATATTTTTATATTTTATACTATACTTTTATATTTTTATAATACTATAAAATAACATAGACTATTATCTCCCAATGGTATGTACCATTATTGATATAGTTACTATGGAAACCAAGTAAAAATGATTTGGAGAAATACACTGAAGAATCATTCCCTGAAATAAAAACTACCAGGACAAACCACTGCTGATCAATCAAGAAGGAAAAGATAAAACTGAGTGTTAAGATCAGGTTAAGAGCAAAATACTGCAGCTTTCAAACACAAAAACAATGCTAGCTATTTAAAAAAAAAAAGAAAAGAAAAGAAAATTTGAGCTCTATTGGCAACACCTAAACCAAAGAGTTTTAAGTGTAAGTGATCATCTGAGCAGCTATGAAAGACTTAGGATATGTGTAAGGGACTTTCAGATCATCAGCTAAGCGAAAAGAATGGAACTGGCAAAAAGAATTATGTACATTCTGTAATGCAGAGAGTGTCTATATGCTTATCTAGTTATTGAGGCAACAACTAAACCATCTAAGGCAGCACATGCTCCACGCCTTTTATGCAAATATCCAAAGAAAGAACTTGCTCAATGTACATCATTTAATTAGAAGGATGTGGTTGTCAGCCTTCTTTATAATGAGCTTCATGGCAAATAAGCTGACATCCAGTTTTCAAAAAGTAAATTTCATATTGGGATAAATACATTTTCCTTTATTTTATAAACATTTTTCATTGTGAGTGTGTGTGTGTGTGTGTGTGTGTGTGTGTTGTATTTATTTTTACTGATTTCAGAGTGAGGAATAGGAAGAGACAGAAACATCAATGTCAGAAAGAAACATCAATCAATTGCCTCTGCCTGTCTGGGGATCAAACCCACAACCTGGTTATGTGCCCTGATCAGGAATTGAACCCACCACATTTTGGTGTACGGGAGCCAACTGAGCCAACTCGCCAGGGCACATTTCCATTCTTAAAACTGATGTAGGTTAAGTATTTTTTAAAGAAGTTCAAGTCACTGTATTAACTTACAGTGTCAGCCAAATAACAGTATGAAAACACATAAGTAAGACTTTCGAAGATCACCATCTTTCTGATTTCCTACCTCGTCAGACATCAAGGTGGCAATGGCTCTGCCAATCTCATGGTAGGACTTGGCTTTCCCCTTAGGACCTAGGAGAATGAATAAGAACCTAATGGAAAAGGAAAGAAGCAAAAGCTATAACACACGTATCATCAAACTCAAAATACATAGAATTGAGACACGTTTATCCTTGCTCATGAACAGTTAAAAGTCTAAAATTCATCTTTAAACAAATGTAATATTCTTAGCATATGACAGATACTCTTTCAACTATAGTGAAACAAAAACTCATTGTTTAGTTTATCTGGAGGCCATGGAAACCTGAGAAGCTTCTTCATTGACAAGGAAAGTTTCCATTTTTTGAGTCATTCAATCTTTCTTTTCTAAACTTTCTTTTCTCTCCATTTCTACTGAATTGCAGAATCTTTAGTAAAAAACATTAAACACAATATCTATAAAGACTTAGTGCATCTTCTGATTTCTTTGTCCATCCTTTACCGAATTTGGTATGACATATGACCTTCTCCAGGCTTAAGAAATGTTTCTACTCAGGAGTGACAGGTCTTCTACAAGTAAGCCACATGCTGACAGTAAAGAAAGAAACTATGAGGAAAAAATGCAAAATAAAGCATCATTCACAGTTAAGGTTTTGTGTGGGGTATGTTGTGTGTGTTTTGGTGGGTAACCTCATTTTCCTTTCCAAAGTTCTTTTCTTGATAATGGACAAGCAGTGCTCCACAGTGAGTAGGTCCTGAAACTTTCAATAATAAGCTTATCCCCATTTAGGTTCATCTCTTATCATGGAGGGAAAAATCCCACACTGATGACAAAAGCAAAGATATATGTCTTGACTAGGGAGGAGGAATCTGAGATGTAAATGAATGAAAAAATATATATATATATATACATACACTAAAGGCAACATCAGATAAAACCCTGTCTTGTTTATGATCACATCTTACTTAACACAGATAATGAGGACAATTAAAAATGATCACATCATATATTTGCACTTCACATTCATCACCTCATTTAAATTCCATACAGCCCTTTGCAATAAGAACAAGTATCCGAGTCTTGCTTAATGGTGAAGAAACACAGGCTCAGGAAAGTTAATGGATTAGCCCAAAGACCGTGCCTGTTATATGAGAGAGTAGACAGGGCATCCAACATTTTTTATTTTCAGCACACAATTCTGCCTAATATTACCTGCCCAGCCTATACACCAGGGTTATGATTCTGTAGAAAGAGGCTATCCAACAACAACTTCCATAGCTCACCTGGGGAAAGGTGCTGCGGATATTTAGCTTTCCCTAAATACCCTAAAATTTCTTGGTAGCAAGAAACCTTAGGGGAAAATTTAGGGGACCAGAAATAGCTGAGGACTTGGCTTAGTAAAATTGTATTTTTTACTTATTTATTTATATACCTCACTTTGAATAAAAAAGAATTGACACCAAGCACTCTTGAATGTGTTAGGGTTTATTCCAAACTACTCTTGAACAGGTAATTCCTCTTTTTCATTATAAAATTCAATCCAAAGAAGAAGAAAAAACAGAAATAAAGAATGTAAAAGGTGTCTGTAAGAATGAACACACGGGGTTTATCTCAGAATAAAGTCTTTCAGCACTTATGCACTTAGCAACCAGTTCTGCAGTGGGGCGGCATGTCCACTTTCAATGGATACAAGTAGATGCAAGAGCCCCAGCAATCAGCAGGCACAAAAGTCCGTGCAAGTATGAAGGAAACCGTTACCAGAATTGGGTTTAGTTCTTCTAACACTGAAGTTCAATTGAGACTAGAACTTTTCTGCCTTTGAAGCTGGGCTTAAATTATATACCCCTACCTACAGTACATTATACAGTGCTCCTTTATGACAGTGAAACTTATTTTTCTAAAGGGACTGATTTGAGTGGAACACATGCAGGAAATATTTAACCACTAAGGCAAATTACAAATTAAGGAACACTTACAGCACTGGTCACATTTCCCAGCCATATTCCCTAATCTACCAACAGCCAGCTGTCAGGTAGGACCATTAGGACATAGTTTTAGGCAAAACTGAGTGCATTGCAACAGGAGAAAATGGACATCTGAATCTTCTACTTACTACATTTTTAAATAATAAGGTCTTTCCTCTTGCCATTTTTTTTATTATTTCCATGTATCTAAGTATTGGTTTTTCAGTAATGCATAATATCTTAAACTTTTCCAGAACCACTCTATACCTCTTTTTTGCCTCTCCCTAGCATCTCCATTATGATTATAGTTCACAAATATACATTGTGGAAATACACTTTTATCAGCTGTCACAGGAGTTAATTTCCAGGTTGACTATATGGCAACATCATATGTATATTGTGTTGTATTAACCACCCACAGTCAAGTCCCCTTCCATCATCATTTATCCCCCGCTTTTTACCCTCTTCTACTTCCCCTTAGCCCCTCTGGTAATCACCACACTTCTGTCTGTGTCTATGAGGTTTGTTATTTTTCTTAATCCCTTCACCTTTTTCACCCAGCCCCCAACACACTTCCCCTCTGACAGCTGTCTGCGTGTTTTCTGTATCTATGCATCTGTTTCTACTTTGTTAGTTTATTTTGTTTGTTACATATAATCATATGGTGTTTATTTTTCTCTGACTGGTTATTTCACTTAGCATATACTCTCCAGGTCCATCCATGCTGTCACAAGATATGACTTCCTTTTTTTTTTTTTACAGTTGAGTAGTATTCCATTGTGTAGATATACCACTGCCTTTTAATCCATTCATCTACTGAGAGTGGACTTGGGCTGCTTCCAACTCTTGGCTGTTGTAAATAATGCTGCAATGAATGCAGGGGTGCATATGTTCTTTCAATTTAGTGCTTCCGGTTTCTTATAATTATTTATTCTAGTCTCTGCTAAATAGCACCAAAGAATAAATGGAAGTAGCAGACCAATGATGAATATAACATGTACCATAGCAAAACCCAATATCTGAGAATTATAATGTTTTAATAACTTCAGTAAATTATATATAAAGGTACAAGTCCTCTTAGGCAATATAATTTATATAAGTATATATAAATTATATTTATATATAACTTACACACACATATATATATAATTTTCTTCTTTAATGAAAAGTCACCAAGTACCAAATAGAAATACATGTTATGTATCAGTTAAATTTTCACATTACTCCAGTCAGGAACCATTCAGTATATTCATCTCCTTCCAATACTATAGAGAAAATCTGGCCATCTATCAGTAGCAGAAAACATCTCCTCTGGCTGAGCATTTCATCTGTAGGAAAGAGACCCTGCAGAAGTGTCTAATTTGGACTGTATTGTCAAAATGGGGATGAAAGACTAAAAAAAAAAACCTAACAGAATCACTCATCAAGTTCAAGTTCCTTCTGCTTGAAACATGTTCTCTCCCCTTTAACCTCAAAGAAGTGAAAGCTGTTACAACTTTTATGATTGAAGCACATCTTGCCAAGCTCAGCTTTTATAATGTTCTGAAAACTCCTTTCATGACCCAAGCTGGTTTTTGTCAATGGACAGATGTTATTTTTAACCAGAAGCTTTTTTTCTTTATTAACAAATTCAAGTAAACATCACATTTGTGTGGCTGGAAGGGCACAGCCCATGTTGACAGCTTGGGGGGAAAGACTGATTTATGTTACTGAGTTATTTTGATTCACTCATAACGAGAAATAAGTCATGGTTCGCATTTTTAACAGTGCCTCGTCGTCTCTGGAATCTTCACGAGGCACTTCTACTCCTGTGAGCATTTTCATATAACTCACTGTGCCGAGGGAGGACGATGCCTGTAGCATTTTCCACAACAAAAACAAGTGCCGGATGATCTGTGGCCGGAACCAATGGACTACACTCACATTCACAAAATAATTATAGCCAGAAACAGAGCAGAATATCAGAAAAAGAGCCAGCCTTCCTAAACCACTCAATCTTTTTAGAAAGGATGTGCACCCCCTCCTTCCTGATAGATTAGAAGCTATTTCTAGAATAAACTCAGCTTTTACCAATCCTTTACTCCCTTCTCTCAAAACAACAGTGAATCAAATAACCCATTATTCATATGTAGCAGCTTTGGAAAATGTGGCTGAAATGTCGCTTCCACCATAGACTCATGAGGACCACAAACTTAACCGTAACCAACCACATGACTTATGTAAACAGCAGGTAGCAACTGGGGTGTTGGACTAGACAGAATTGAACTAGCAAGACCTCCAATCCAAGACCTCTAATAGGGTATTTTATGGTTTAACAATGAAGTGGAAACTACTTTCTTTTTAGGTAAATATTAATTTATAACATAAAATATATATTGACTTACAGTGAAATTCAAGAGGTAAACATTCTAGGGGCTACAATGCACTGAATTAGCCTTAGATATGAAAACCAAGGTCAGAAAAGGACAAACTGCTCAAGGGCTTTTATCCTTCTTCAGGGGAAAACCCTGCAGTATTTTATTTCAGCCCATTCTAGATATGTCCTTAAATTCTCCCTACAACCCTGGCCTCACAGTCAAAAATCTACAGTCCTAAATTTAGCACTGACCATGGATCTTCCTTTTGCCTCTATCTCTCAACTATAAAGTGGGAATAATGATAGTTATCTCCCACAGAGCCCATGAATGTGGGTTAGGAGCAGCCTGTGTGACTAAAGATGACAGCAAGCAAAGTATGTGCAAACTGCTAGGAAAATCGTAAACGTATCCAACCAAGGGAACAAAACTAAAAAAAAAAAAAAAAAAAAAAAAAAAAAAAAGTTTGTTTGCTTTCACATGGATGGCAAGAAGGGCCCCTAAGTAGATCATATCCACTCGGTTGGTAGTATTCCAGCTACAAACAGAAAGCTAAAATAGATCAACTACATAATTTGTGAACTCCACACAAGGAAACTCCCAGAGTTACACTTCCTTAAAGGTGCACAGTAGTAATACCGCTCATTATAAATAAAAATAATAAGCATAAAAGCAAAACTTTCCTCCTCCTTCAAATAGGGGAAAAGATCATTACAAGATGTGCCCCCAAACCAGACTTCTCGGGTCTCCCTGCAGTACAACAGGGCAGCGTGCATGTGAGAGCACATGGCTGGTGCAGAGGCAGTCTCACACATGACTGCCTCGCTCCTCGTGGGATTTCCTTTATTGGATTTCACAGGATGCAGCCATTGTCCATGGCCCTACATTACTCATCCACACCAAAAGCTAATGAGACTCGCTACTCTGTGATTCCAGCTTGCACTGGTTCAGGGGACAGCAAATGAATAAAACTATTTCCTGAGAAAATGTTAACATGCTAGAATTGTTCAGATTATTGCCCTGAAATAGTTTGATGTCATCATTGAATTACATTCCCCTGAATTACTGGGCTCCTTTCGTTCATTCAAATGATGCTGTATTTCACCTCTAGACTCCTGCCACACTCCAGGACAGAGGAAAAGAATGAGACAGGCAGGAACAGAAGATAAGAAGAACACAAAAATGGTCACAATTTGCTGCTCCATAATCTCTACTACTGTTAAATAAAAAGCCTTTGGAAATACTTTTTTTTGTTTGTTCTTAGCTTTTAAAGAAAAATAATAAAAATGAAAAAGCAAAAGCAATTTAACACTTCTTGGCTTTTTTCTTTTTTTTCTTTTGAGCTACAGTAAAGTTTGTCCAAAGAGACATAAATAAAGCCATAGGGACACGCGAGCTGGCCTTCAGCCATGATCTGAGTCAGCCAGTTTTCACCTGATAGAACTTTGAGGCTCTGCTGGTGTGTTTTCAAGCCAAGTTACAGAAAGCACAAATCATGATAATCCCATTAATTGAATAAGCAATGGTCATCTCCTTTCCTCAGCTATTTGTCCAATGATCACCTAATAATGACAGGTATTATTCCCATTTGAAGTATCTAAGAAATATAAAAGTGAGGGAAAAAATATCTGCATGAGGAAGAATGCCCTGTAACCTCTGCATTGAGACGCTGTAAAAGGAATGTTCTTGTATAATTTTCCTGCCAACTTGGTTCAAAACCAACCTTGGGCCCCTTGTCATTGTCAGCTGACCATGCTCAGACCATCTGAGATCACTGAGGAGGACCCATAGCCCTTCCTGCTCACCTGGGAGACCTAACGAAGAGACATGTCGCCTGTCCCTGGGGCCCAAGAAAAGCACGCGTACACACACACACACACACACACACAGAAAAGCTGCTATTCAGGTGATAATTTTCAGACATCAATTTGAAGATTACAAGCTTCTCTTCAAACTCTTCTCAGCACAAGTTTAAAAGAAGCATTAATTCCTATTCATTTATTATATTCCATCAGTCAAGCTTCCTAACTCTATTAGAACAGTTGCAGAGGAAAACAACCTGGATAAGTTTGAAGATACCATGCAGTATATTAAATACATGATTATAGTAACAATAATATGCTTCTTTTTAAAGTAAAAATGTACGCAACATAACTCATAACAGTCAAGTTATGGGTACAGCTTTATAATTTTTACACGTCTGTGTATATGTACACACAAACACACATCCTATATAATAAAAGGCTAATATGCAAAACAATTGAATGATAGAATGATGAGCACTGATTACTAGGGGGCAGATGCTCAATGTGGGAGCTGCCCCCTGGTGATCAGTGTGCTCCCCCAGGGGGAGTAAGGCTCAGCCAGAAGCCCTGAGGCAGGCTCATGGCTGGAGAGCACAGTGGCATTGGCAGAAGCCTCTCTGGCCTCCTTAGCTACTGCTGGCTTAGGCCCTAAGCCATCAGTCAGACTTCCCCTGAGGGCTCTCGGACTGCAAGAGGGTGCAGGCTGGACTGAGGACCCTCTACTAATTTATTTTATTATAAATAAAAATAATAAGCATAACAGCAAAACTTTCCTCCACCTTCAAATAGGGGAAAAGATCATTACAAGATGTGCCCCCAAACCAGACTTCCCGGGTCTCCCTGCAGTTCACTTTGTTCTCTCAAAGTGAACAAATTTTATGCACCAGGCCTCCAGTACACACACACACACACACACACACACACACACACACACACACACACACACATATATATATATATATATATATATATATATATATATATATATAAATTTTCTGATAAAAAAAAATAGAACAAATGAAAACAACTTTGACCTCTGAATCAACTACCATCTGTAAGAGTTTGGACAAGTTAGTTAAACTTTCAGACTCAGTTTTAAGTCCAAACACCTACTAATATTTAAAAAATATTACTGTGAGGATTAAGTAGACTAATCCATAAGAAGAAACCAATACATGATCTAAGAAATTGTTTTGTTAACAATTATGATTACTACTATATAAGTGCCTAGTCATATGATGGTATGAAAGTCAGATTAAACCATTATTTCATATTAAATCTTTCCAATATGCTCTCACTGGATGTATCCTCAGTCTATTGAGTTTCTAGCCTGAGAGAGGGGAGGTTTCCCTAAAACCACACCATAGGCCCCAGCAGGTCAGGGTTCAGCTTACCTGGTGGGCACAGGGACCTCAGTCAGGGCTCCCAGCATGACCGCCTGCTGCAGCCGAACAAAGGCGACGAAAGGCGCATCCAAGAAGTCGACCTCCCCAACAAGCACGTTGGAGGCTTCTGCATCACGGGGCAGTTTTTTCATGAACTTGTTCTTCAGCTGCATGGGAAGAGTCAAGGAAACACAGCTTATTTCCAGAAGAGGAAACAAGAAGAAACAGTCCATATATCACTCGAGGGAATGCCTTTACATGCCACAGGACCTAGCTACCGCCATTTTCCTATTGTGTTTAACCATTCTATTAAACATTTCTCTGTACATTGTGTTAAAAAATATTGAAGGTATAATCACATGGCTTACAAATAACACAATTCATTTATTGATTCACTCACTCCATAACCATGTTGAAAGTCTAGAAGGGGCCAGACACTGATCAATAATACTAGGAATACAGAGAAGGATCAGCTAATCACATGTCCTCCTTGGATTCATATTCCAGCAGGGGAGAAATAAAATATGATTTGAAATAGTGATAAGTGCTAAGAAAAAAAGAAATAATACCAATAAAAGGGTACTCTAGGTAGGGTGATCAGAAGAGGCCTCTGAAGAAATACATTTGAGCCCTAAAAGGTTTGGCTCAGTGGGTAGAGCTTGGACCTGTGGGCTCAGGGGTCCCAGGTTCGATTCTGGTCAAGGGCATGTACCTTGGCTGCGGGCATATCCCCAGTAGGGGCGTGCTGGAGGCAGCTGATAGATGTTTCTCTCTCATCAATGTTTCTAACTCACTCTCCTTCTCCCTTTTGTAAATATATATATATATATATATATATATATATATATATTTTTTTTTTTTTTTTTTGAAAGAAAGAAAGACATTTGATCCTGGAGTCAGGGGACAAGCCATGAAAAGATCTGGGCAAAAAACATTCCAGGCAAGAGAACAGCAAGTGCAAAGCCTCTGAGATGGGAAAGAGGAAATAGTAAGGAGGTGTGATGGCAGCTGAAGGAACAATGGGGGTAAAATAGCAACAAATGAAGTTACATACGTAAGAGGGTGGGGGATGGAACAGATGGTAAAGACCTTGAAGGCCACAGTCAAGAGTTCTGGATGTTTTAAGTGGGTCTTGCCTAATAAGAGCCCAGGTGAAAAGGTAGAGTAGAAAGACATACATTTCAGAGATATCACCATGTAAGCAATGCTTATGACCACAGGACAAGATCACACAGGTTTGGGTGTGAGTGTAGGTAGAGAAGAAGGAGAAGATCTAAATGCTGAACCAACCTGCCTTTTATAGGAATGGGAGGAGCTTCCAGCAGAGGACACTGGAGAAGAGCAGCCAGTGAGGTGGGGGGAAAGCCAGGGCTCAATGAGGAAAGCCTATCAGCTGAGTCAAAGGCTGCTGAGAGCTCAAATAAGATCAGAACTAAGAATGGACCTGATGAACTTGGCAAGATGGAGGTGCTGGGTGATCTTGACAAGAGCTATTACGGTGCACATCAGGGAGCCCAGGAAAGAATGAGAGGTGAAGAAATGGAGACATGGCGTACACATTAATTATTTAGAGAAACATTGCTACCAAGAAAAGCCAAATAATAAGTGGACAAGCGAAAGAAGGGATAAAACGGGGGATTTTTTTGAGTGGGAAATATGATAACACTTGTGAATGTTAATGAGAATAATGGAGTAGAGACAGATTATTGCTGTGGAGATAGGGGATAATTTCAAAAGCCACTCAAGCAACCCTGCACTCCTGAGAAAAGACTATCCACATCACAAGTAGAGGGATTATTTCAGAGAGGAACACAGAGAGTTTATCAATCCTCATTAGGGAAAGCAGGCTATCTGGGTACAGAGGGGAGTAGTGGGGAGATTTGGTGGGTGAAGATGAGGTCTTCTGAAGATGTACATTTTTCCAGTGAAAGACAAGTGAGCTGATGGTGAGAAAGAGGGGGAGGTATGTGGGAGTTTGAGTACAGTGTAAAGATGGGGTTTTCTTGGAGAGTGGAGGTTGCTTAACAGTCACTGAAAGCTTATCTTTTTCTTAAATTTGTTTTTATTATTGAAAGTATTACAGAAACTTTTTTCTCGTTTCCATTCCACTCCCAACTCTTCCCCAGGTCTTCACTGCACTATTGTCTGTGCCCATGGGTTAGGCACACATGCATGTAAGTTCATTGGTTAATTTCTTCCTGCCTCCCTGTCTTCCTCTGAAATTTGTCAGTCTGTTGCATACTTTAATGTCTCTTGATCTATTTTGTTCATTAGTTTATTTTGTTCATTAAATTCCATAGAAGTGAGATATCATGTGATACTTGTCTTTCTCTGACTGGTTTATTTTCCTTAGCATATTACTCTCCAGAGCCCTCCATGCTGTCTCAAAAGGTAAGAGATTCTTCATTTTTATTGCTGCATAGTATTGCACTGTATAAATGTACCACAACTTTGTTACCCACTCATCTACTGAAAGGCATTTGGACTGTTTACAGATCTTGGCTATTGTATACAAGCACTGTTATGAACATAGGAATACATATATTCTTCCTGATTGGTGTTTTGGGATTCTTAGGATATATTCCTAAAAATGAGATCATTGGGTCAAATGGCAGTGCCATTTTTAATTTTTTGAGGAAATTACATCTTGTAAGTGTTATTCCTTTCTTCCCTTCCCTTCTCATGACCCACTTACAATAGAAAAGGGGTATTTAAGCATCCACCAGTGAGTGGGAAATGCCTCTCACAGCTCAAGGAAAACATTTCAACAATCATGGAAGAGATAAGAGTTTTGCAGGACCATATGAAAGGCAGACTTGTGATATATTATCAATAGAAATGTCTCTCCTCTCAAGTCAAAAGTTACCAGTGCACTTAGTATTTCATACCCTGCATTACTGCTGAGATGGAAAGTGGCAGATATGACCCAATTTTCCCTATCAATAAAAAGGTTGCAGTAAAACTTTATTTTCTATTTCCATTTAAATAGTTCTTAATTAGGGAAAATAAATGTAATAAAAACTTATCTCTAAAACTCCATTATCCTCAGTAGCATTTTTATGGGATTTTTTTTCTTAAATTTGGTACATTATATAATAAGAAAGTTATGAGGCAAAAAACAATCAAACAAACAAACAAAAAAAACAAAGAAGTTAGGGCTAATAATTTAGTGGAAACCAAAAATAAAAAAATCAAAAGCAAAATATATATATTTTTAAGTTAGAAACATGATTACTTCTAAGCGGTAAGGGATAGTTCCAAAGCTTATACCATTAATCCTCTAAGAAGTGCTTATATTAAAATAAATTGTTTACATTGTACAGATATGAAAAGAGAAGCCATGGGAATAGTCTATAAACATTAAATTATCATTAAAAAACTATTATTATGGCCTAAAGAAGTTCCAGTAATGAACTGTTCTCCATAACAGAGTATAGTGTGGGATATGGCCAAGTGGCCCAAGAACGTAACACAATATCATTGCTAGAGCACAGTTCCCATTACCAACACTGGGCATGAAGTTCTGTGATAATCACACTTTATTCCCCATTCTCTCCAGCATTCTCTCTTTGCTCTAGTTAGGCAGGTAATCTAATCATTTCTTCTTCTGTTTTATGCATTTATCCCATAGTTATGACCAAAAACTCTCTCATTTCTACCTTTTCTAAACATCCTTCAATGCTCAGCCCAAGCCTTGCTACCATCTCTGCCCACTTTCTTGGGAACTCCGGAAGTGCTCATTTCTGAATCATACTTTTGTCTGCTTTCAAGTTTTCCCCCTCAGGTTTCTTAAGCGTTAGAACAGTTTATCCCTCCTTGTACTGAACTCCTACCTGCTTTTCACATAATTCAGCTGTACTAAATATTTTGAATGAAAGAAATGAACTCTGGAGCACTAAAAATCAGACCAAAAGGACCTCAAATGCCTACGAAAGTTAGAAAAGATGTGTTTGTTTGTTTGTTTGTTTGTTTGTTTTGTTAATCCTCATCCAAGATTTTTTTCCCCACTGATTTTTAGAGAGAGTGAAAATGAGGGAGGTGGAGCGGGGGTGGGGGGGTGGGGGGGTGGCGAGATAACAGGAAAGAGACAGAGATAAACACCAATGTGAGAGAGGTACATTGATTGGTTGCCTCCTGCATGCACCAAACCAGGCTGGGATCGAACCTATAACCCAGGTACATGTCCTTGACAAAGAATTGAACCCACAATCCTTCAGCGCACAGGCAAACACTAACCATTGAATCACACAAGCCAGGGCTAGAGAGGTTTTAAAGGCTTATTCTAGAACCTTTAAAACTATATCTGGCTCTGTCACTAAGCAACTACAAATTGTCAATATATGTTCTTTTATATCAGTGTATCTCAGACTGTGTTAGTGGAACACATGCATTCTCAGAAAAACGAGTAGCAGTTCTAAAATAACTCTGTGTGGTACCTGAGGTGCCCCAGAAGTCAGTCCTCAGATGGCTCGTTTCTTTCTACACACACTCACCAAGATCCCACACTTTAAGTTCCATCTAGATGATGATAACTGATAAATTTATACCTTGGGCAGGACATCTTCCCTGAACCCCAGACCTGAAAACATCTCTACTTGGATGTCTAACAGGCATTTTAAGCAAAACTGAGCCCTCCTGATAGTCCCTTCAAACTAGTCTTCCTCCAGTGCCCCTCATCTGGTTAATGGCAACTTCATTCTCCCATTGCTCAGGCCAAAACATTGCTGTCATTTTCAACATTATTCTTCCTCTCACGTCCTATGTCCATTCTATCAGCAAATCTTGTTAGATCTTTGTTGAAAGTGTATCCAGGATCTGACCATTTTTCACCATCTTCACTGCCACTCTTGGTGACCTCACAATCATTCATTCTCCTCCTGGATTATGGCAGTGGCCTCCTGGCTGGATTATCTGCTTCTGCCCTTATTCCCAGTCTATTCACCAAAGTGGCCAGAGGTCAAATCAGGAGTCAAATTATGTCTCTCCTCTGCTCAAAATTCTATTGGCCCCCATTTCACTAAGAGAGAAGACAATGTTACCATCAGTTCCTTGACCTTATTTCCTACCGCTCACTCTGTCTTCCATGCCTGCTACTCCAGCCTCCATGTCCTCCCTCAAACAAAGCAGGCATACTCTTCCCTCAGCACCTTTACACCTGCTACAGAGC